TGCTGGGCTCCACCCCGCACCCCCACCCCCAGGTTCCGATCCAGCAAGTCTGGGGTGGAGCCTGAGAATTTACATCTCTAACACATTCCCGGGGGATGCTGGTGGTGCTCGGAGACCACACTTCGAGAACCCCTGAGGGGCGGTCGCCCAGGACTTCACAACAGGGCTTGGGAGGAAGACCTCTCCTTCCTCTGGCCCATGGCTTTTGGTCCTGTTTTGACGTTTGATCCAGAATAGAAACCTGTCTCCAAGAATTCCGATGCCAAGTTCTGTGGCCTCTCAGGACGAGGGTACTTGGCTCATGGCATGCTCTCTCTTCCTCTCTCTCCACAGGATAGGAGCATTCAGCCTGAATTCCAGGACAGGCAAACCCATGCCAGCTGTGTCCAATGGGTAGGTCAGCAGACATCTTTGGTCCTGGAGTCCTCAGACATCCAGCCAGCTCTGCAGAGGGAGCCTCAGAGTCCAGGCCCGGTCCCTGCTCCCACCACCGTGCACGCAGCCCCGGCCAAGGGGAGAGAGGAGCCTGGGTCCCTCCTGCAGGATGTGGGTGCTTTGGGCCACTCTGCAGCCAGCCCCTCCCCCATCCAGACCTGAGCTCCAGCATCCCCAGGCCCAGTGGCCCATGGGACTTCAGGGAGTAGGGTGGGGATCAGAGGTAGGGGCTGCTTCCGGTGGCCACCAGGGACTGGACACATTCTCTTCCTCTCTCCCTGGCCTGGTTTCTTCGGCCTCTCACCTCTTGCCCTTCTCCCCTTCCTCTTTCCCTGCCTTCTCTTTATCTCCTTACTCCACTTCCCCTCCATGCTCCCACTGCTGGATGTCTGCCTCTTCATGGAGAAGATGCTGCTAAATCCTCACTTTTTCTATTTGCTCACCAGCTGTGGTGGGCCAGCCCCATTCCCCTGGCCTCCACCCTGACCATCCGCTTTTGGCCGGCTTCCTGCAACTGTGTGCAACAAAGACCCCCCCTCCCCACTCTTTGCCTGTCCCCTCTCCTGGTTGGAGGGAAGGTCCTCACCTGAGGGTGTTGGGGGGCAGGATAGGGGATATCTGCCTACGGGAGCAGCCTTGGAGGTGCCTCAGACACCTGAGCATTTTGGCCCAGTCAGCAGAGCTCCACTGGCCTTGCTGAGGGCTCCCAGGAGCTGGGGTCCCAGCAGCTGCACTGGCCACCAGAGCAGCTGGATATGGGACAGGGGCTCTAGGGGGCCCAGGGTGCTCACGGCCCAGGAAGGGTGTGGATGCTAATTTACCAGGAGAGTATGGAAGCAGCAGTTGGAGAGGGAACAGGAGTCAGGGAGAAGAGCAGAGAGGGAGGGCCAGAAAGGCAGAGAGAGAGAAAGGAAGGCCAAGCAGGTGGGAGTGGGTTGGGTCTGGAGGGGAGGGAAGGGAAGGTGGGAAATAGGAGAGGGGCCCAGAGGCAGAGGGAGAAACACTGGCGGAAGAGGCTGGTGTGAGGACTCTGTCTCCCTGGGCAGACACATATCAGTCCCGGGGAGGGCCAGACCGGGGCTGGGGAGGTGCTTTGGGGGCACTCCCCACGTCTAGGGGGACAGGCTGGCAGGCCCTGCCACCCATCTGTGATGGGAGCCTCCAGATGTGGCCCCTGCTCTGCTCACCTGATCTGGAGAGCTCTGGGCTGTCCCCACCTCTGGGGCCAGCTCCCCTGCTCCTCTCTGCTTGAGAGCCCCTCCCTCCGAAAGCTGGCACTGGGGAGAGTTCCATCAGTGGTTCTCAAAGTGGGTTCTGCCGACAGCGTGCTGCTGCTCCCGAGGCTGGCCTGAGGGGTGGGGCCGGATTTTCTCAGCTTTGCAACTTCGTAAAGGAAAGGGGGCGGGGAGGGAAATGATACGCACTGTGTGTGCATGTTGGTCATAATGGAGGCTGCAAACACACTCATTTTTAGGGGCTAGGAAACGGAGGCTCAGAGAGGTGCAGGCATGAGTCCAAAGTCACACAGCTGCTGGACAACGTAACATTTTTTTCTCCCTCCCAGTGGCCCCTGGCTACACCGGGGGGCCCCCACCCCCAGGTTCATCCCAAACACTGGAGTGGGATGGGCTGGTGCCTGGGGGAGGGGTCCTTCCTGACCTAGGGAAGAGGTGGTACAGGTCCCCTGGGTGAAGGCCCACCCTGGGAACTCGCCCTCCTGGAAGGGATTCTTCGGGTGGGCCGACTTCAGGTCCTGGTTGCCCCCCTCACTGAGTTGCTGCATGAATGGCCAGGAGCTCTCTTCTCTGGAGAGACCCCAGCCGAGGAGTTCAAGGGGAGGTAGCCGTGGGAGAGAGCCTGGACAAGCTGCCCCAAGAGCATTCCAGCCCTTCTGCTTAACTCCCCCTTGCTGCTCTCCCTCCCATGATAAATCGGAGTGGCTCAGAGCTGAAATGTCCCGGGACTCTGGGGGTCAGCTGGGTGCAGGGTGGGGTGGCTGGCCCACGAGGTCTTTTGCCCACAGAAGTGGTCTTTGGATGGAAAGTTTGAGAACCACTGGTCTGGAAGCCTCCGGGTGAGTCTGGATGCTTTTCCACTTCTAGGACTTTCATTGCAGACACTACCCTTGGTGGGGCTCTGGGCTCTCGGGGAGCAGGGG